AAAAAAAAAAAAAAATCCTTCAATTCACAAAGTGCTGAAATCTGGCAGCAAGGAGACCTTTTGCTCAACTTCTCTTCCTGCCCACTCGCTGGCGAGTGATGCACAGCCCCCCACCTGCCTTTCTCACACCCTGTCACCCTCCCCCCTCCCCGCTATTGAAAAAAGGAAAACTAAAGTTAACTTTCCACGTCCCACACAAATATTTTTGGCAGGCGTTGCTGGCATTCAGGCTGCTGAGCCCGGGGGAGACCTGGTCTGCAGAAAGTCTTCGTCTCCATCTGCTCCCGGCACCCGGCTGGGGGTCCACAGAGCCTGGGCTGGTCTGTCCCAGACACAGAGCAGGGGCAGGAGGTGGCACAGCCGTGAAAAAAAATGGGGAGCACCTCTAGGACAGCCCTGGGGACCGTGAATGGCCCGGCCACGGGAGTGCCATGAAGTGGAGGGGCAGATTCACACGCAGTCTTTGGCTCTGTCCCTGCTTTCCTGTGTTGTTCTCAGCCGCATCCCCACCCCACGCTGCGTTTTCATCACGGTGAAACAAGCCGGGAAGGGTGCGAAAGCTGTCCCCAGCACGGCGGGGGCTCTCGGGTTTCCCCGGGTCAGCCAGCGGGTCGCTGTCACTCAGGCAGGACTCTGCTGCCCAGACTCGCAGTCCCCAGCTCCAGTCACAAGATCGGCCCTGTGCYTTTCCAAAATAGCCCAGCCGCAATGTATACATCTGGGGAGCTTTACACCTCCCCTGTGCCAGCAGCTGAATGTCCCCTCGGGGGAGCTGGGCACCTTCCTTCCCCACGTGGCACCTYCTTCCCGTGGCACTTTCCCTCAGAGGCACCCCAGGCAAGGAGACTGAGTGGCTGCATCCCCCAAGGGCAGCCCCACATCCCTGTGGGTCCCGTGTTCCTGTAAGGGATCGCTGCCCTCCCAGCTGACACCGGAGACACCTCGGGTGTCGCTGTCACCCGGCAGCATTTGGCTGCCCGACACTCTCCCCTCTGCTGCAATCCAATATCCCTGCAGCTCCCTGGATACCTGGCCGGGGTGGCTGAGCTGTGWGCTGGGACAAGGCACAGCTGAGCTGCCTGTGGGGTGACCGCCTCTGCTGAACCCCAAAGCCCTGCATGGCTGGGACCAGTGTGGTGTCACCTGTGCCACCCCAAAATCCTTCCACAGCCCCGGCTGCAAGGGGATGGCACAGCAGGGACACGGSTGGGCTGGGCAGGATGGACCGAGGGAAGCTTTTCCTTGGGGAAAAGGGGTGCAAGGAAAGTGGGATGGGTTGTGATTGCTTCCCTCGGCGTGAGGAGGGATCCCTGCTCCCCGTGGAGTGCGGACAGGGATGGGAACATCCTGGCTGCTGCAGGCGAGGCCGGGGCTGGAAGGCACCGCGGCCGGCAGCGTGCTGGGGAAAACAAAAGCCTTTTGCAGCGYTGATTTACTACCTTGACGGAAACGGGGATGGAAAAAACAACATTCCTGAATGCCTGTCCCCGYGCAACCCCCGCGGTGCCCAGCACCCCAGCCTGCTCATGGAGACACGGGCTGCGGCTCCCGGCCGGTGGGTGCCCCGTGCCCTCCTTCCCTGCCCGCAGCTGTGGGGACAGGCGGCAGAAGGAATTTGGGGATGGGCACGGGGGCTGYGGGGCACCAGGGGAGCTGTCGTGATTAAGCAGTGAGCGGAGCAAGGGAGGAGGAGGAGGACAGTGGCATCCCGGGCAGCTGGACCGTGCCCCCTCCCGCTCCACGCCGTGCTGGGAGGAAGGGCTGGATGTGGCTGSTTGGATCCTCTGCACCGCTCCATGGATCCTCACGCCAGACCCGAGCTCGTCCTCCAGGTTCAGGAGGGAGTGGAATTCTCCCTGGGGAGCTCGCAGGCATTGGGGAGGGCTGGGGAGCAGGATGGGGAGCTGAGAAGGGGGTGCTGGGTCCTTGGAGGGCAGCGCGGGGCAGGCTGGGCTGGACTCGGGCTGAAATGTGTTTCATACCCAGCACAGCCAGCCCAGCCTCACAGGATATCAGCCCCACTCCACCACCCTCATTCCTGTGAGGGTTTTGGTCAGGTTTTGGTGCTCAGCACACCCGCTCCCCTCCTCCCCATTCTGGGGGGCTCCACGGGGATTTGCATCCATCGAACATCAGCCTGCGCATCCAGCCGAGCGACACTGCTCCTGCTCTGCCCTCCCCGCTGGGCTCAGAGGTGAATCCACCCCCTCCTGTCATCCCTAAGGGCCCCATCTGACCTGGGGGTCCCAACCAGGCAATCCTGGGAGCCCCACGCCGAGCAGGTCCCAGCCTGTCCTGCCCTTGCTCAGCTCAAACACTGACCCCAGCTCCAGCTGCTGCATTCCAGGGAACGAGGACAGCCCAGCCCGGCCCTCTCTGCTGCCTCAAGCCCTTCTCAGTGCAGTTTTGGGGAGCAAAGTAGCAGGTTTGCCATGTGCCACCAGCTCAGCTCGAATCAAGCCCAAGATGCCAGCGGAATGGTGGCTGTCCCCAGGGACCCCTGGCCCTGCTGCTGTGGGACAAAGCGTGGTCAGCTGGAGCCTCAGCACATCACTGCAGGAAGCCAGGGATGAAACTGCAGTTCAGCCTTTTCAAAGCTCAAACAAAATGTAAAACCAGGGAGGTCCAAGAGACAAGATGAACTGAAAGGCCAAGCTCTGGGCAGTGTGGCACAGCTGTCCCCAAGACTGGCACTGCCATGACTGAAAAGTGAGCTGGACTGGCAAGCCAGGTTCTGGCAGCTTTTGGCTGCACACATCCCTGTCTGCCCGAGGCAGCTCATCTTCATCACCCACCCTGCAGGATCATCCTGGCTGGGCAGCCACTGGCTCTGCACAGCAGGTCCCACACCCAAATTTCCCCTCAGAGCTCCAGCAGCAGCTGCCAGAGGGAGAGAAGGGAGGGCAGGCTGGCACAGCGGCGCCTTCACGCATTTCCCAAGAAATACCAATGCACATTTCCTGGGGGAGGGATGAAGGARCTCTCACTAAACAAAACCCTGCTCCTGGAGGTGAGCACTGTGGGGATGGGGTCACCCCTGGAAATCAGATACCTGTTGATGGTTGTGCCAAAAACCTGCTTGGTACCTCAGCAGTGGGATTGGGGCTCATCCTGCATTGGGATTGGGGCTCATCACAGCCATGAGATGAGTGGGATGAACTTTCTTGTGGTGGAGTTAAGGCTCATCCTGCAGCCACATTGGCCCCAAGGAGCTCAGCCTCAGCAGACATAAAGCACGAGACAGYAACTAAGCAGAAAACCCCACGGGGACTCGAAAATCCAGTTTAAACAACCTCTGAGCATTCAGGGCCGCCCCAGCAGGGACGACTGACAGCCAGAACATCACAATCCCCCGGGGTCCAAACCAGGCTGCAAAACTTCCAGGTGACGCTGGGGGCTGGCACAGCCACTGCTGGATTTCACAGCCTTGTKTGACATTGTCACAGCCCTGCCCAGGTCCCCCTGAACAGAAAAACGAGGGGCCATGACCCCAGGGCTGCCGGGATCAGGACACACGACCTGCGGTGCAGAGATCCAAGGTCAGTGGCAGACTGACCTCAGCCAAGGTTTGCAGAGCCCAGCAGCTCTGTCCTCCCCACTGTGACGGCCCCACCATCACCTCCAGGCATCCCTGAAGCTCCCTGAGGAACAGAACCATGCGRGTTAGACACAGGGAGCAGCTCCCTGCTGGCTCTCAAACCAGTGTCATGGACCCCAGCTSTGATCCCAGGGAGGCAGGACAGGAACTGAGAGCAGAGATGGGTGCACACAGCCTGGGATCTGCCAGGACCTGGATAAAGGACATTTCAGCAGCACTGAGTGCACACAGGCACAGGGTTTGGCCCCTCCGAGCCCCACGGGCAGCGCTCGGGTCTGTCCATGGGAAACAAAGAGCATCCCGGGGAAGGGAGTGTTTTCTTTCCAGACCAGGAAAGCAGCCAAACCCCAGCACATGCCCATTCCCAGGCCTTGGCCCCAGCAGCACAGCAGGCTGGTGGCCTTGGGACACGAGGTCCTTTCCCATGTAGCTCACCCAAGGCTGAGAGCCCGGCAGTCCGGGCGAGGCAGGAGAGCAGCCCTGTGGCCAGGACGCTGCCACCAGCCAGAGACACTCAGAGGGTCCCCAAAGCGCTTTGGGACGGGGCTCTGTGTGTGTGTGTGTGCTCAGCAGTCTGGCTCTCCTCCTGGCAAAGCCGCGTGTGCAGTAGGAATAAACACGCCGAGGACACATCCAAGCCAGTGCAAACAGCCCCTGACCGAGCCGCTCTCTCCCAACCCTCTGTTTTTCTTTCTCTTCTTTTCCTCTCCTCTCTTAACCCCTTCAGGAGCCCGCGGGACCTGTGCCGGCAGCCCTGGGAGCTGCTGGAGCCAAACCCCATGAATCCCTGGGAGTTTGACCACAAGGAAGGGCTAATGAGGTTCCAGGGTCCCCTCGGGGCACAGGGCTGGTTTTGCTGCCCTCAAGTTCCCTGGCTRTTGTTCCTCTCCCTATTCTTTCCCCATTCGTTTCTCCCCTCCACAGTTCATCCTTTCCCCAGCAGCTCCRGAGGCTCCTGGGGGAAAGGGCTGCTCTCCTCTCCAGCCCCAGCTCACCCGGCCAAGCTGGATGCTGGCAGAGGACCCCTCATCGTGGACAGGACAGAGGAGCCAGGAGACACCCCATCGTGAGGAAAGCACTCCAGGGAAGCCCACCTTCCCCCCTCGGCTCTGCCGGGAGCCTCCTCCATCCTGGAAGCCGCCGTGCGCATCTCCTGTGACACCACTCTGTCCCCAGGGTCACCGAGAGCCGTGCCCAGCCAGCATCCCGCTGGGATGGCCACGGATCACCTCTGGCGAGCCCGGGGATGCTCGCACTCGCCACGCTCACCTCTTTCCCTTTTCTCCCGTGGGGAAGTGAAGCTGGCTGCCTTCCATGAGCTCCGGCTGAGCCCGGGGGAGGTCGCTGCCCCTCGCTGCCCCCGCTGTGGCCGGAGCCGGGTCCCGGCCGGGAGCAGAGCAGCGCCCGGCTCTCCTCGGCTGCTCTGCTCCAGCCGAGCGCGCAGGGCAGGGTGAGCGCGGGGAGAGGGGAGGGAGGAGGGGAGGGGGGAAATGAAACTTTAATAGCACAGAGCCCCTTTTGTTTCCCAGCATATGGGATATTTCATACATGCTGAAGGCATTAACCACCTATATTCTTCAAGCGCTGGCGGCGGCTGGGAGCGCAGCCCCGCGCTCAGCTCGGGGCACCCTGTCTGTCCTGGGGGGTGCAGGCGGCACCAGGCAGCCCCTCTGCCCTGGCACCCCTCGCTGGAAGCRGGGAGACCCTAAATTACAGCCTGGAAAGCTGCTCTACTTCACCCAGAATCACCCCCTGCATGGTTTTGTCACCCCAAAAGAGTAGCCAAGCCCCCAAACTCGAGGCCAGGAAAGGGATGTCCCTGTTTTTTGGATGTGCTGTGAAGTGGGGGAAACTGACCCCACCATCCCCGGGGRTCTGAGACCCCAAACATCCCTCCTRTCCCTGGGACACGGCAGAGCCCAAAGGTCCCATGGAGCTGTGACTAACAGTGGCAGAGAGCAGCTGAGGAGGGCTGGCAGCTTGTCCCCTCCCTGCCTGCATCCCAAGGACACAGGAGCATCCCCGGAGCAGCAAGCAGGCTAGGTGCTGACAGGGAAAGGCTGGAAAATATCCACATGGGGGTATCCTCATGCTTTTCATCCATTTTCTCCCCTCTGTTTCCCTTTGTGGCATGTGGGGACAGACCATGGTGCCTGTAAAATGGGTGACACCATCTTTGCAAGCAGGGAAGGGACRTGTCCAGGTCCTGAGCACAGGCAGTGGCTGTCACTGCCCCTGCAGCTCCCACCAGACACCTCATTTTGGGCTGGGGACAYCCAGGGTCCTTGGCACTGCATTGCTCCCTTATTCCCATACAAGAGATGTTGACTTTGACCTTCTGTAGCAAAAYTCCCAGCTTGGTTTGAGGTGGAGGGGGCCTCCTGTGTGCTCTGTTTTCACCWGACTGAGTGGATTCCTCAGCACTGGGGCTCTCCATTGGTGCCCAACCCCTGAGTGGCACCATGAGGGCTCCCAAAGTGGGTTCCCCTTCCCCAGCCCTCAGAGTTTTGGTCAGCCAGGGGGGAAGAAAGGCGTGAGCCCACTCATCCAGGGTGCAGGGACACACTGTCCATTCCACGGAGCCGCAGCTCCACTTGTCCCTGAGCCCCCAGCCCTGCWCTACACAGGATGCCCAGTAAATCCTGACTTTGTCCAGTGTTTATCCAGTCACACTCTAATTTGAAATAAAAAACTCAGCCAGTAAAAAGCCTTTATAGCTCTTCAGAGCTCATAAACCGGCAGCGCTGGCGGACGGGGCCCAGATGATTGGGGGCTGCTYGGAAAATTTATTGCAGATTTTGGTAACTTAAACATTACAGCTCTGTGAGCCCCGGGACTGGTTTGCTGAGCAGCTCCCAGCGGCRGGGATGGAACAAGGGATGCTTTATTGGGGAAGGGAAGGGGGGGGCTGACAGGTCTCACCCAGACCCACGGTTAACATCCATCCCAATTTAGAGTGGCTCATTTGTACGGCAAGGCTTTGCACAGGCTGAATCTGTCCTTGTGCCAGGGGGGAGTGTGTGTCCAGGATCCTCATGTCCAGGACTGCTGGACCCAAGGCTGCATGGCCCTGGGATGAGGAGAGTCCTCAGGAGCATCCTGGGAGATGATGAATGGGAYTGTACCAGCACCTCCTTGTGCCAAATCCCCTGGCTCGGTGGGCGACCTTGCCCCAAGCCCTGCCGTGGGGCAGGAAGAGCAGGGACGGGCTGGCCAAGCTTGTCGTGGGAGTCTGCAGAATTTGGAGAGAATGAGAGGAAGCGGCCGGGGTGGGGAGCGTGCGAGGGAAGGCGGGTAGCAGGAGGGAAGGCATTTTTTCCTTGCCAGTGTCTTGGCTGATTCGGTGTGAACTGCTGTAAATTTGCTCCTTATCTCTCAGGCCATTTAATGTTTTCATGAAAAGAAAATAGTCTGCAGGAAAAAAAAACCCTGCTGATAAAAGATCCCTTTGGCGTTGGGAGGAATGTTAAATGCTTCTAATCAGCAGGGTCTGGGGCTCGGGAGCGCTCCGGGGCTGGCAGGGAGCTGAGGAGGTGTGGAGACTGGGCAAAGCTTGGAGCAGACTCTCCCAGCACCCTCCCARGTCTGGGGGGGAGTTGGCATCTGCAGCTCTGGGTGTCCCTTGCACTGAGAGGGTCCAGGGAGACCCACGCAGGGAATGTGGTGCCCAATTTGGGACAGCAGTGGCTGTGGCTGGGATGGCTCCAGACACTTCGCACCACAGGCTCCCACATAAATTAAACCAAATACTGCCAGAGGAAATAAAAAGTGGGAATACGAGGCACAAATTCTTTGGGGAAAAAAAGTTATGGATCCAAATCCTTCTTGACTGCTACCCAGGGCCACGCAGGAGCATGGGCTGCACCAGGGACCCCCGCATCTCTTTGCACCTCCAGGATCTGCATCCCTCTCCTTTTTCTGTATCCATGGGGAGGCCAGGTGGATGCCCTGAAGCCCCACGTGGCTGGAGGTATTCCTCCCAATAAAGCTGGCCCATAGAGCAGCTGCTGCTTGGATTTACAGTTGCAAAAGTAAATCTTACACGAGTCTTCCTCGGAACAAATCTCCTGGCCCCGACTGACCATGCCCTTGCTCCTGCTGAGGATGCAGGGCTGGGGGCACAGCTTGTGATCCCTGGGCAGAAGCATCCCTCTCTGCACGATCAGGTGTCGTCTGGTTGCACTTCCCATGATGTTGGTGCTGAGTTATATCCCTCAGGCTTCTCCCTTCCTCCAAACGCTGGGTGGAATCCCACTCTCTGGTGCATCCCTGCCTGGGGCATCCCCACCGTGTGGCTCTCTGAAGGCCATCCCACCCTGCAGCCTGGGGCCAGCAGAGCCAAGCACAGGGACACTGAGCCTCTGAGCTGCAGCTTCATGTCCAGGCTGGAAAACAAACCAGGGAACAAAAATGCGACTGCAAAAGGGGAATTTTCAGGGTGGGAAGGAACAGTTACTGATGACTTTCCCCCCCATTTTTTTTTTCTCCTTTTGGTAGTATTTCATTTTATACTCCAAGAGAGCAGAAATGCCATTTCAAATGAAAAAAAAATCAAACCTTTCTGCTTCAACACACTCCCCATCTCAACGTCCTCATGCACAACACACCCACATACCAGCTTTCCTCCCAAACACAGCCCTGGCCCGGCGGAGCCCATTTCCAGGCAGTGTTCCCCCTTGGCCAGTCCCATATCCCAGCATCCTGCCTGCCCTGCCAGCCCCACTCCCAGCCCCATCCCTCCATCCACACCCCCTCTCCGCAGGCAAACACATTTTCTTCCACATCCATCACGTGGAGTAGGATGTTGCGGTGCCAGAACACGCACGGCCGGCCGCGCCAGCAGCGCCTGCATGGCTGCACAGAGCTGCTGCTGTGCTGTGGATCGCACTGGGATTTTGTGGGAATATTTTGGCTGTGCCTGGAGCAGTGGGRAGGAGCCAGGAGCTGGCACTTGCCGTCGACACTGACCTGCCGAAATTGGTGTGGTGCCAGATGTCTCGCTCTTTGCTTGCACATCTGTCTGTGTGCCCGCTCTCACCTTGCTGCAGACCATTTTGGTGCCTTTCAGAGGCAAAAAAAAAAAATGTATTTTGAAAAGGTGGGGGTTGCTTGGTAGACTGGCAGCACCACTGGCATCATGATGGCATCATGGGACAAGGACAGTGACCATCATTGGCCCGAGGCACCCCAAGGGATGTGGGCATGAGGGTTGTCACCCCTGCCAAGTGCCCAGGGCAGCTCCCTGTGGCTCTGGTGCAGCCCCACTGCTGCTGCCTTTCCTGCCCTCTGGCAGACCTCCCCATCCCTCCACCGTCTGCCTCTGACGCAGGCAGCTTCGCTCCAGACGGGGCGTGCTCCCCCCGAGCCCAGCCCAAAGAAAGCCCCTTTGTTCAGATCAGCAAGCGGGGCCCATGCGCCGGCTGACCCCACTGACCTCCACCACCCAAAAACACAGTCCCTGCTGTCCCATGGGTCAGGGCAGGCATGGGGACAGGGACAGGGACAACCCCTGACACAACTGCTCGGGTCAGGGTCAATGCCCAGGGACACGGGCAGGGGTCACAGAGGGTGCTACGGAGCTGCTCTGTCCTGCCAGGAGGGATGGACGGACGGATGGATGGATGGATGGGGGGATGCTCTACAGCCAAACCTCCCATCTCATGGTTCTTTGAGACGGGCAGAAATCACTGGAGTGATCAGTGGAGCTGCCAAGCTCACCAGGGTGGGATGGGGAGCGGGGCTGGTGCTGAACAAGCTGCTGCTAATGAGAAGCAGGTGGAGAGCCCAAAATCGCCCCCTCCCCCCAGTCCTCTCTCAGCCCCCGGGGTCAGCTTGTATTTTCTTAAGTCCTGATTGCAGAAAAATTGGAGGCTGTTGTGCCGGTGGGGTCTGGTGTGCTCCAAAGCAAAGGGAACCTGACAGGATCTGCGTTTAGGTTTGGGAATGACTGGAGAATATTCTGGCACCTTGCAGCTAAGCTGAGCAGGGCACAGGACCCTTGAGGTGCTGCCTGCCCTGAACCTGCTCCAGAAGAGCATCCCAGTGTGAGTGGCAGCAGCCCATCCACCAGCACTCGACTCATCCCCAATTTGCATGCAGGAGAAGAGGAACCCTGAGCTGCTGAGCCAGAGAGGAAAMGAGAGCAGAAAAATGTGATAAACAGCTGTAAAGCCCGGCCCTGGCTCTGTGCTGCTCCCGCCGTCGCGGGTCGGCCCCTCAGACTGTTTATGGAAAGCCCAGTTTGCCGAGAAATCCATCTCCCGTTTCCTGTTGATCGCTGGAAGCCAAGGTCCCTCCGCCAAGGGCTGCCGCCGCCCGCGCACGTCTCGCCCAGAGACAGAGGAAGGGGCTGAGCAGGGGCAGCTCATGAACCTTTGGGGATGGGGTGATGGTCCCGCGGGGCTGGAGCATCCCCTGGGAGCTGAGCAAGCCT